GCAAGAACAAGGTACATGAAGATAGACTGTGTTTGTCTGGAATAGGGCTTTTAGTGTGATGTTCATATCTGATGGTTTTTATTTGTAAAGTAGAAGGTGATGTCATCTTCATGAGTGTTAAAAGTGTGTTTTCTTTTTCTCATCACTATTATTCTGTTTTTTCTAGCTCCCCCCCGGAAACCAAGGTGTAAAAGAAATAATATGTATTTAAAAAAATCTCCAGGTCCTGTGGGTTTCTTCAGGTATTTCTAGTCTTAATGTCTGTGTCTCTTTTCTAATGAAGCTTTATCAACTGAAGTGTTAGCAGTAAGATAGCTTCTGCTATTTTGACCCTCTGCTTCTTCTCTTTTTATTGAGGGAACTGTATGGATCTCAATAAGAGCTAACCATCATGACATAATTTTGATCAAAGTCACCTGCCTGTATGCTCTCAAGGCATATTAGCTGAGGAAGAAAAAGACCTTCAAGATTGGGGATTGGTAGTATCTCCAATCTGGATTCTTTGTTCAGAGTCCTGGAAGGGCACACTAGGTGGCCTACACTAAGCATTCCTTGTAGCTACTGAGAGCTTGCTAAGGACCACCCAAGGGACACCTCTATGTTAAAAAAATTGAATTGTATCAAATGAATACACTGAGGATTAGAGGTTAAGTACTTGTACCTGTTTAGGTGGGGCTGTACTTCAAACCTGGTTTGATTGCTCTGAAGTTTAAGTGTTTATCCATAAGGTATTGGCCTCATGCTTCTGTCTAGTCCCAAGCTTTATGTTATTAGACTCTAGTTCTGTCTTTGAGGAGAAACAAAATAATGCTACTTTTTCTTCCGCAGAACACCACTACAAATAGTTTAAAATTACTGTAATTGTTTTTCTGAGGCATATCATCTTTAACACCCTTAATTTTTCCTTGAAGGGAATGATTTGCAAACTCTTTCACTGTCCTGGTAGTCTGTGAATAAGCTTTAGTTCTGAGTCTCAGGGAGACTCTCATAAAGTGGGAATAACATTAGACTTGAACCAGAGATTGAGTTCTGTTTTGGCAGATTCTAGGATTTGCAACTTGAACAGGACACATAGCTTCTGAATCTCCTTTATTCATTTATAAATGAGAATGACACCTAAGGTCAGCAACAAGTTTATTCTTTTAAACAGTTCTATTGTTATATACTGTGCATACCATAAAGTTCACCCTTTTAAGGTATACAATTCAATGATTTTTAGTATACTGTTGGCCTTCCATATCCCTGGGTTCTGCATTCACAGATTCAACGAACCACAAATCTTTTACACTGTTGTATAAGGATCATTATAAAACAATTATAGAACATTGTCATTACCCCAGAAAGTAACACTGTAGCCATTAGCAGTCACTACTCATCACTCCCATCCCCTCTCCCCAGAACCCCACCCCCAGCACTAGGTAAACAAACACCCATCTGCTATCTTCCTATATAGATTTGCCTGTTGCATAAATTTCATAATAAATGGAATCATATAATTTGTGGTCTTTTCTAGTTGGTTTCTTTTACTTAGCCCAATGTTTTCAAGGTTCATCCATGTTGTAGCATGCAGTAGTACTTCGTTTTATAGCCAGATAGTATTGTACCAATATGCTACGTTTTGTTTATCCGTTCATCAGGTGATGGACATTTGGATTGCTTTCATTTTGGACTGTTATGAATAATGCTACTACCAACATTTGTGTGTAGGTTTTTATGTGGACATATGTTTTCATTTCTCTTGAGTAGAATCCTAAGAGTGGAATTGTTTCACATGATAATTTTGCATTTATGGTAACTTTATGTTTAACATTTTGAGAAACTGCCAAACTGTTTTTCAAAGTGACTTTACCATTTTAAATTTCCACCAACAAGGTTTTGATGAGGACTAAAAGATTGAGTTAGTAGAGAAATCAGTAAATGCTAAAGCACTATCCATGGCTGCTTTTATTATCTTTTTGTGTCTAATTCTTCCCAGAAAGAATTTAGTAAAGAAATATTTAGTATGCATTTTAACAAATCTCCCTAGTCATCCTGAGGTTTTCTTTAGATAATATCTAGACTTGATATTTGTGGTTTATGACCTCATGTTTTGCTAATAAGGCTCTAGTGAGGCAAAGAATGGATCTGTGTCTGGTATATTCAAGTTAGCTCTGCAGTTGGCTTTTTATGTTTAGGTGACAGTCCTAAACTTATACAGCTATCTCTCAGGGACATGCCAGTGATTTCATAGATGTGTGGATCAGGTAGCAGGTGTGATCAGTCTGATCAAAAAAATGACTGGGAAAATAAGTTGTTCTGGTTGCCCCAAGGATGGAGGGTGATTAGTGTGGTTGTACAGGTAGAACAATACTAATTAAAATGCCGGAATTGAGGATTTCCAAGGAGTTCATGAGAGCATGACTCAGAGAAGGGGCTAGTCTTCCGTTGTCTCCATTTTGCACGAGACTGTATTTTTAGGGACAAGAATCACATTATACACATCTCTGTTTCTGTAGTGCCTATCACTTAATATATGGTCATAGTGTTACACATAGTATTACACAATCAAAACTGGAATTTCTAGCCATAAATACTTAGGGAATTACTTTTTATTAAACATTTATATTTTTAATAAGTATTTTTCATCTAATACCCAAAATATGAAATGTGATCATTATTCTCATTTTTAAGATGAATAAACTGACAAATCATTGGCACATTCTGTGCCTAGGACAGATAGGCATTCATTAATTTTTTCAGCTATTAAACCAAAGAACTAAGCAAGAATACACAGTCACTTTGATAACAAAAATACTTCTACATTACTAATTTATCTAAAAGAGAATT